GCAGAGCAATACAAAGTGGGGAAACAATGCAAAGGAAGAAGCGTAAGAAGAATTGCAAAAGAGGTTCTCGAGACGGTGGAGAACTTTTTCGCGATTCGACACAAACGAGAATGGAAGTAGGAGGAGGAGGAGGAGGAGGAAGTGTGTACTAGAAATGAAACGGAGCGCGAGAAAAATCAGCAAAATACCGGGGGGCTCTATCTCTATAAGTACTAGCGCTCTTTCTCTCGCTTTTTCACCGACTCTTCCTCGCTCGTTCGTCTACCACCATCAACGGGCCAAATATAGCCAAAGCACCAGATTGAAGTATGTGTGAAAATTTTTTGTTGTACTACAAGAGTACAAGTATACACGTGTCTGTCCGTACCTCTGAATTAGTAAGTACAGGAAGAGAAGATGAAAATGTACCCAAGGGGGCCCTTCGCACCGAGAAAAGCCATTTGATTTTCCCTCTCGCAAAAGCTAATAGCCGTGAGGCTCGCGCGTCACATCCCCTATACCTACCTCTGTTCCGTGGCACCGACTATATACACGCCCATGTCTCTTTTTTTTTTTGGCGAGCAAAAGTACATACATGTATAGGTGTGTGTGTACCTTATCATAGAGCAAAAAAGAGCCAAGTCTGTCAAGCTAAAGTCAATAAACTCTGCAATGGCATGCAATTGGTATTACATGGATTGAATAATTAATTATCGTGATGTACGCTTTTTTTCTCGAGCACAAGGTCCAGCCTTCGGGAATTACGGAGGGGAGCTTCTCGCGCGACAAAAAAGTAAACAATTAGAACGGTACCATAGGCCCCAAACACCCTTCACTCCGTTTTTGTCCCTCTCGTTGTTCCGTGTAAATAAACGTGCAAAAAGAAACATAAGCAGAAGGCGAGTGGCAAAAAGAGCAAAGAGATAAAGTATACCTGGTGGAGTATGCTTTGATGATGGTGTTTTACTCGCAAATCGATCGGGGATTTGGAGGTTAGGAAACTCGCGGATCTTCAAAGTGAGAGAGAAAGAGAGGAGCCAATGCTGGCGTGCTACACGGGTTCGAAAAAAAAAGCCATCTGTGTAAGTGTGTAGGCGAGAGACGAAAATAGAGTACAAGATCGGAGCAGAGCAAGGATCGCGATGCAGGAGGTAGTGGTGTGTAATGTACCTATATACGCCACTGCTGTGCTTCTCTGTGTATAGTGATAAGTCGTGGGACCGCTTGCCGGGGGTCTCTCCCCCTCCCCTTCGCCCTTCCTCGCCACCCTTTGAAGGCTGCATGCTCTCTCTGCTCCCGCGAGCTCGAGAAAATGGAGTGAAAATAGACGAGCGTTATCTCTCGCTCTCTTGGAAAGTAGTTTTCCTTTCCCCGATACGTGTGTACGTATATACAAGTACGCGTACGAAAGTTTACGCGTTTGTAAAAAAAAAAAAAAAAAAAAAAAAAAAAAAAAAAATACTTACTCAAGGTTGATGAGTAGTAGATCAGAGAGAAAAAGAGAGGCAGTATATGTACGCGAGAGAAAATGAAGTGGATCGTGTATTACGATGTGTACGATGTATGTATAATGGATTATATATGGGCAAAACCGGAGTCGCCGTCGCGCAAACGGCTCCGCAGACCCTCACGCTCCAACATGACACAAAAGTTGCTCCAAAATTTCCAGAGCCACGATCGTAGGTATGTCATCGAGACAGTGACCACGAAGGTTCGCACCTAATCGGAGCAATAATTGATATTTACACTGTACCCGAAAACTAAGGGCCAAGGCTGTAAGGAGTACTAATAACAACTTGCCTCGTCGTCAGCATAATTCCTCGATGACTCCCATTTTCTCCAACCTTCTTGACACCCTATGTGATTCAACAGTACTTAGCAGCGTACCTCCTTGTACAGGATCCGATTGTCCGATGATGGTTATCATATAAAGTACGAAACATGTAGGTTGCAACCGCGTACACACACAGAGGGCACTTTACGCGTACAAACGAAGAATAAACAATACATTTAATAATAATAATAATAATAATCACCACACAAGCTGCATCGCACACAGCCGCTATAACCTAGAAAACCATCCGGACGTACGTACAATAAGCACTTCTACGGGATCGACTCGTCCGCGTCCGGAATCGACGTCGTCGTCGGCACCGTTGGTTACAAATCAACGAGAGTCAGACTGCCGCAGACGCCCCAGACGGACACAGAATGATAGAAAAGAGAGAGAGAGAGAGAGCGGGGGTGAGCAGCTCTATGGTCTGCTGCTCTCGCGCGCGCGCCGCCAAGGACTCTCTCGACTCAACTATACTTATATACTATTGCTCCGAGTTACTCCTGGCACTAGGGCTAGGCTCCTTTTTATTGTTTTTTGTTTTCGTTATCTACGGGCTAGTCGAAGGAACTCCGAAATACAAACGGTGTTATGTTATACAGATACGGGGCTCCGGACGACGGAGAGGAAGAAAGCGTCGGTCGGGTGTCTGCTTGCTTGCATGAATCGTTACGTCTAGGTATATATGTAATGTATACACGGGCTCAACTATTATATGGTCAAAGGAAGAGAAAAAGACAGAAGTGCTCACGCGCGCATGCAGAGTCGCGCTCCACTTTTCGGCAGCGGGGACAAGGGGAAGGTACGGAGAGAAAAGGCTGTAGCTTAGGTGCCGTCCTGGCGACGGTTTTTTAATATTGCAATAAACCTCTCTCTCGCCGTTTCTGCTCTTCCTTTGACAATCCAGAACCACGAATGACACTAATTTTTTCGGTTGACACACTGTACGACGCTGTAATTGTATTCACACAGTCTGCCTCGATAGTGATGAATCATGAACACACGTATATTTACCCATTTGTCGTCCTCCGGCTCTGGTCACTCTTCCACAGCTTCCATACACTTGGTGTTGATGGGCTGCTGGCCCGCCCCGTACCCGCAACTGCTGCTGATGACGACGTCGCTTTGCTGCCGCTGGTGGCTACTGATACTTAATGGTCTGCTACCCTCACCTATTACTATGACCACGGTATCACTTACAAACATCACATATACAAGAGGTACACACACCTCGCGACTGAGAGATAATGAAACGTTACAATCAACTTGAAAGTTGGCTTATGTTAATGGTGAAATGTACACTCCAGAGAGCCTGGCAGTTGCTCTGCACCGGAGAGGTGCCGAGAGAGCGGTCAAGCCCCAGAGAGCGCGCACTCACTTTTTCCCCGAAAGCATACAGCCGCTGGGTACACGGCCATAACATGGCTATATCTAGAGCCTCATCCCATTAAAGTAAGTTCCTTAGATCTCCGCCAGGCGCCGACGATGTCTTAAATTACATATTTTTTAAGATGGATTGCCATTGCCGCGAATAGATAAATGAATGTATGAATTTATTTGGCTAGCAAGCGCGCAACACACTACTATTAGCAAATGTTTTCTTTTTTGTATTATGTAAAAAATTGATTTCAGAAATACGATTATCGTTCTCTTAATATTACCAATGAACACACAATTATTTTAAAATAAAGTACATTAATTTTTATTTCCTTGTATCAAGATGTTACAACGGTATTAAATAAAAATCCAATAGATCTTAAAGGAAGTAAGTCCTTGGCTTGCGAACACTGAACAAGGGCATTCTGTTACGGTGTGCGATTCTCTTGGGCAAGGGGAATTTGATTGTAGAGTTGTGGAATTGTTTAACATTAGGCCTTTTACAGTCTTTGGCCTTGACGACCTCTACCTTAATTATCTGTATGGCGTGAGCCCTGGCACGATGGCGAGCTCCCATATCCCTGTAGCACTGAGTAACAGCTCCACCAACAGTCAAATCTCTGTATTCTCTGTACATGTTGTGGGTGCCTGACCTGGAATCGTATCTCAACCAGATACCAAAGTTTTTGATTTTCAAGGGAGACTTTTCTGGGACCTACGAAAAATTATATTTAATAGTTAATATTTAAGCATTTAAGTTGAAAACTGCATGATCAACGGGTTATAGGTACATTACCTGCTTCATAGATACGATTTCTCCAGTCGATTTCTTGAACTTCTTAAGTTGACGCAAGAAATACCAGAATCTGGATTTGGCAACAATGGGATCCGGAGCAAAAATCCTCATTTTGTAAAGAGGTGTGTGCTTAATCTTCTCTGTGGGCAATTTACGCCCAATGACCTCATATTCTTTCAACTGTAAAAATTATTCCATTAGTTAGCAGCTTTCCAACGTTATCACAATATTCAAGTTTTACTTTTTAGTGATTCAGATAAGGAAAGGTTAGATCGTCTTGACACAACACTTGATTACTTATTCAGAAGAATATCAGCTAAATAATACTCTTTACTGTTTTGATCAACAATTATTACAACTGATGAGAAAAGGTAATTGAGGTTAATTGTCAAATAAATGTGGAGTGTACAAAAGCGTGTGTACACGTGCATTGCACCATACAGTCAGTTTTTATTGACAAGTCTCGTATCATTGCGAACCAAAATTAAGACGTGCAACTAATAAAAACGTAAGAAATTGCGTGAAAATGCATTTTTATCTATATAAGTGAATTTTTTCAAAGAAAAAAAGGCTAAAATTAACTTACTTCTCCCTTCGCCTTCATGGTTAGGTTGTTCTCGCGTTCACAAAACCGAAAAAGACACCTTGTGAAGTTTTACTGGCATTCCGAACTCTGCGCGAGACTAGCGCCAGACGACACACTCTCGCACACATCGTTGATAACGGCGGTAATTTTCAAATGCTGTAGAATAGCAAATTATAGTTGATAAACTTTTTACCTTTAAAAGTTTTTAATAAATATTTATAAAATTAAATTTTTTTAAATCCGAATAAAAATAATTCCAAATTATTGTTAAAACAATTCTTCTATTGATTTTTTAATTTTTTCAATGTTAAAGCTGCTATTACTACTATTTCGTGTTTACCGCGTTCGAACAGTGTTTGAAATGCTACCCAAACGGTGATATGATTTTTTTTCGAGATAAGTTAGGAATAATTGTTGCCTTATTTTATGAAGAATAATTTTATTACATAAATAAATACAAAGAGTACAATGTAAATTGAAATTAATATTTTCAAGTCAACTTCACAGATTAAAACATCAGACTCACTTAAAGCTCAGAAAAACCTCAACAGTGTATTAATCAATTGCAAAATACTTTTGCATCAACTCTTCATAAATTTCCTTATCAGTTTGTAAAAACAAACAGAATATGATTCTATCAAACTGCAAAACAAAACATATGTATTAGACACTATAAAAATAATGAAAAATAATTGAAAATTACTATAACTCACGCTATCTGGATTGTCCAACAAAAACTGTTTAACAGTGGACAAAGCCACACTAGCAGCAGGCTTTTGTGGGTAGCCATAAACTCCTGTTGATATACAAGGGAATGCAATGGTGCGGACAGCATTCTGTTTTGCCACGATGAGACTGTTTTTGTAGCACTCTTGCAACTTTTCAGGCTTCTCTCCCTGTGGTCCTACTGTATGAATTACATCTGCAACCAGTTGGTAAATTATTAATATGTTTTTTCTTCAAAGTTTTTTTATATGAAAAAAACCAATGATGTATACAACATATTATTACATTTTGATGGCAACATGTAGCCTCCTGTGATCTTGGCTTCTCCAACGTGACAGCCATTTAAAGTTGCACACTCTTGCTTCAAGTACCCTCCAGCTGCTCTGTGAATGAATCCATCAACTAAAAATCATCAACCGCCATTAATTTGATGGAACAAAAAAATATCAAGTGTTGGATCAAAGGGAAAATACATACCACCACCACCACCAAGCAGCTTTGAATTAGCAGCATTGACAATGGCATCAATTTCTAATTTAGTTATATCACCTTCCCAAATTGATACCTTACTAGCCAAAGACTTGTCGACTTTTTCACCACCAGCTGACAGCACTCCAATTCTGTCTTTGTTTTTACTCCAGTAATCCGGCCAAGTCAGAATCTGATCAACAGTCACTGGCTCTGACTTGAGCAGCTTCCTTTTTTCAGCTGACGACATGGACAGATATTTCTCTGCAAACATCATACGGTTTTATGTTAATAATTGTTTAAGCATGGATCAAAGTAATTTAACTCACGTTTTTCTGTTTCAAAAGACATTGTGTTGTCGACTTGCTTGGTACCAGTGATGCGTCCAAGATAGCTAACGGCAGTTTTAATCAACTGACTGGGTTGTTCTGAAAACTTTAGTGGAGATCCAAAGAACAGCTGAAAAGAAATGGCGAGAATCGGAGTCAGAACAAAGAAAAGTAATTTTTTGATTCTTACTTTTGAGCCGAGCATTTTACGATGGATTACTTTAACCAAATACGCAAAAGCCGGCTTCAGTCGCCACGTTCTTATTTGTTGCGATTACACACGCGTAGACACGTATTATATGCAATTTATTGATTGATCAAAACAGTTTGTTTATTCGTAATGTCAAAGGAAAATTACCAGGTAGCAGTTTTCGAAGATGCACTATGTTTTTTTATTCCATACGTGCACATACGTCTTAAAGAATTTGCGGCTTGTGTTTTGCATTAAAAACAAACGTAAAAGATTGCTATATTTAACAAGATTTGCGATGTTTCTCTCCAAAAACACGAATGATACAGCCGGTGGCGGCATCTCGCATCTGCAATAAAGTACTTTTAAGCACAGTCTGGAACTTAATTTTTTTTTTTTTTCACGACACTTTGTAAAAACGTATGGCAAAATAATAAATTTTCAATTTTTTAATCTTTGATATGAAAATTAAATTCCGTAGATATAAGATTACTTTTATGTAAGCGAGTACTAATACTGTTGGTAGGTAGGATAGAAAGAAAAATTATTGACTGACGCTAAAACACATGTTTTGGCACATTTTTGCAATACTTAACTTTTTAACAACATTTAGGTTGGACAATTAATTTTTCATCAATATATTTATAGCGTAGTAAAAAAAAAAAAAAAAAAAGGTTCTAGTAAAAATAGTGCATCATATTTTTAAAGATTACAGTATTTAGAAAAAGCGTAACAAGGTATTTAAAAACAAGAATTCAATTATTTATTATGGATTATAAAATTTATTAAAAAAACGTATCGCACCATTTAAAACTTCTTTTTAATATCGTACAACAATTTCAAGGAACTCTAACTAAAAAAAGCATTAAATTTTCAGATGAAAGTTTTAATAACAAAGTGTTTAAAAAAAAAAAAAAAAACGTACATATGTAATAAGTTTTAATACGAGTGATGCATGCCTATTTAAATCGACCCATACTTTCACTTGACCAATGAATGGTCCGTAATGCAATTACGCATCGACAGAAATTTCTTTTTCTCCCTCACACGCCGATCGACGAAAAAAATGCTGGCTCTTCGCGTAAGTAGGTAAAAGATAAAAACGTCTCGATCGGCGTCTCTTACACGTCCGTCCGTTGGAGATACGCGACTCTGACGTATTAAAAAGTAATAGAGAATATAAGTAAAAAATAGAGAAGAGAGGAGCAACGGGAGGGGGGGAGGGGGTCAAGATAAGCGAGTGACCCTTGCTTCGACCCGTGGACGATAAAAGTTTCCGTAATGTCAGATGAATCCCGGCTCTCTATTATTGGGCCCCAGTGATTTGGAAACCAACCGATCGGAAGTACAATGTACACCCCCGCTCTGTAGCGATGATGTTACCCTCCAATTATCATCGTCCTTCCTAGATAAATTTTTTTTTTTTTTTTTTCGCATCGTCGTCGCAGTCGTTCGTTATTCCCACAGTTTGGTGGCCGGTGTTTAAAGCTCCATTCGCCCGAACGAGATAAAAGCGCATCAACGGAGCGACATGAGAGTCGTGGGACTCCTGACTTGTGGACTACTGCTCCTGTGCGCGGGTCGTTTAGTTCGAGCAGGTAAGCTTTGTTGGAATCATTATCGAAAAAAAAAAAAAAAAAAACTTTTCCATCCCTCGCGAGCGTTGACGCGCAGAGAGATATTAAAAATACACGTCGACCCGCTATGCACGGCCACATGTGTTGTTAAACATAATATACATACGCCGAGCTGACGCTGCTCGAGAACGCAACATATTATGTAAATATATATACCTATGTATGTCGATTTCGGTCTCGCTGAAGCGCGGTGTCCGTCCGAAATTCGGTACATAAATCATTCAATTCGAGATCAATTTTTTTTGTTTCTTCGGTGTAAATCCTAATTCCGCGCTTTTAGGGGCGATAATTGAAAAATATAGCGAGCGTGTGGTAGCGGCGATGAAAAAAAATAGCGCTGTCATTTGGAAATTGAATGTTTTATGGGACGAAATCACAGTGGGATGTGTTTGCGTTTCATTAATGAAAAGGAGAGAACTGCGTGGCGCGTGGTTTTTTTTTTTTTTTTTTTATCTTTAACCCAAACGAAATGATAAAAGTTGGGAAAAAACACGCGCTCGCAAAAGTTGTTAAAACGCGCGAGGGAAATCCCAATAAGGCTGTGGCATGAAAGGGCACAAACAAAGGCGAAATTATAGCAAACCGCGGAGGATATGAAAAAAAAAAAAAAAAAAAAAAAAAAACGGCGCTCAAACTGCAGTCTCCATATATGTACACGTGCTCTTGCCGATTTGGCTTCGTTAAATTTTTTCTCCGCTCTGGAGTTTGTGTTTTTTTTCTTTCCTTTTTTAATATCCGTGTCGTTTTCTTTCCATCCCAGAGAGACACTAGTCTTTTTTTTTTTTTCTTTTTTCCTTTCTTGCAAACAAAAAACCGCAGCTGTGTTTAAATGTGTATTTTAATGAGAATCTTCCAGCCTGTAATTATTTTGGGAAAGGGCAAGAAAATCGATTTTTCGCCCGAAACTCGAGCATAGTAAAGTACATACGAACTTTTGTCCACAAGTTACATAAATATGTATACTGTCGAGTCGTAATGTTATAAATCAAGTGACTATTATTTGTATTCCCATTATTCCAGAGGAAGATGATGCGTCGGCAACAACAACCACAGCTGCTACAACCAGCACCACGGAAGGGTCGTCGACGAGCACCACCTCGCCCCAGATGGCCCAGGGCGAGAAGAGGCTGGGCGACCAGATCCGGGCCATCCTGAAGCACTACCAGCAACCGGATCCCATCGGGCTACCCGGAACCCCCGTGCCCGACCCAATGGACATCCCGGACCTCCGTAACTCGATATCCTTCTACACCATCTACATGAGCAAGATCAAGTTGTTCGGGCTCAGTCGGTTTCGCATCGAGCAGATACGCTCGGAGCTGGCGCTCATGCAGGTCTGGGTCTCCCTGAGCATCGAGAGCCTCGACGTGCGCGGCGTTTACGTCCTCTCGTCGCTGTTTACCCGCTCGGGTGGCGACTTTACCGTCAAACTCACCAACGTGAGCGTCCAGGGCCTGGCCAGGCTCGAGGTCGGCCACGACGGCAAACTCAACGCCCAGGACATCGACATGGACCTCACCTTCCACGACATCGACATCAACTTTGAGAACCTCGGCTTCCTGGCCGGCTTCTTCCAGAGCGTCATCAACTCGGTCGGCACCTTCATCTTCGACAACATCAAACCCTACGTCCTCAAGGAGGTCAACACCAACATAAGGTCCGTACCACCAAACAGGTATACATGTATCATTTGCAACGTGGCATTGTTATCACGTTTGCCAAATGCACAGGGGCGAAGTCAACAAGCAAATATCCCAGCTGCCCAACTACTTCCCGAACTCCATATCGCCCTTCGACATGGCCGTGGCCGAGGCTCGGAAACAAGTCTCCGACATGGGGTACGATCCGTTCAAGGTCAACGACTACACTCAGACCATGGGCATGCTCACCATCACCTCGACGCACACTTGGCTCACCGGCCTCGCCAGTTTCTACCGCATGGGCAACATCACCCTCACCATAGAAAACACCATTGTAAGCGCATTCTCTTTTCTTTTCTTTTGCTCAAACAGCCGTTCATCAATTAACTGTGCACGTCGTCCAGCCAACGATTACTATTAATATTTGTACACAGAGGGCTACTATTGTGCGCACATTCACACACACACGTCATTTATAAATAGATCGTAATGGAAACACGTTATATCCTCGGCGCACTGCAATTATAAATTGATGGCCAGTTCAATTACAACCCTCTATACACATCATGCGCGATTGATTTGATAACGTGATTAATTACACGTAAAGTCCACGTGGGTGTTTATCATGAAATACCGACTACCCAACAACCTATATACTCGTATCCACACAGTCGGTTAACGTGTAGGGTTTTCATTTCCCTCGTTAAACCATGGAACAACGAAATGGAGGGGGGAAAATAACATGCCAACATCATTTTTCCCACATCGGCGTATGTGCTCGAAATTTCACGAAATTCCATACGTAAGGGCACACAGGAGAGGGCCGAGTAATTCATCGCCGATAGATGAAGTGGATTCGATTTGGCAACTTCTGGAGTTTCCCTTTGCCTCATAATCGAAACCCCAACCAACCTCCTCCTCCTCCTCCTCAACCCCGTGATCTTGAGAAACTTGCAGCGGCTCGAGTAGTTCTGAAATACTGTACTCCTACTTCCACCTACTTCCTCCTCCAACTACTTTAGTCAGTACACACAGTGCCTGTATTATGTTAGCTACGTTGGTATATGTATATGTGTAAAATGTATAGATAGATGGATCTTTGATGGTGGTAAGGAAACAAAGCAAAAAAAAAAAAAAAAAAAAAATGATGAATAAAAGTAACGGTATATATACGCGTTTCAGCTGTACGCGGTCCTCGACATCGGGACTCAAGAGATCGAGGGTCGCACCAACTGGGAGGTCAGCGCGATCGGGGGCGTGCTGTCGAGGTTCGGCACCGCGTCCTTCACCATCGAGTACTTTCGCGTCCAGCTGAACCTCAGCCAACCGCTGGACACGCGCAAGAGGTCGACCCTCGAGGAACTCGATCTCGAGCTCGGCAACATCCAGGTGAGGGTCGACGGCGCGGGCACCATAGATTACATCATCGAGGCCGGCATCAACATCATACCGAATTTACTGAGGTTCGCACATAATGTATATATGTTTGTTGGCTGGGCAGAGTATGGCCCGTCGGGTCGCTCCGTGCATTTTTCATCCCCGACCGCAACGAAAGAGGGTAAAATTAGATTTCGGGGCGCGCACGCCAAGTGGATCGTTTAATTGACGGGCCATTTAATTAACGAGCTAAATGGAGCAAAAGCAATTTCACACGACAACAATAAGTATACATACAAAACGGGAGTTTCCCTTTATTTGTATATATATTATGTGTACGAGTCTACGGGATAGTAGGGGCAGGGTTTTTCTTTTTCCGTTCCTATTTCCAGCTTCGCTTAACTCCCGCGGCTCCGTGAAAGGTTCCATAATGGATCGACGAGCAAACTTTTCCTGCTCCCGCGCCGCGCGTGTGTACGAGTATGTATATACATATACATACGAAGCAACGGGTCTCGAGTAACTATTTGTGCCCCGCGTAACACGTCGGGACGCTTCTTGCCCCCAATTGGAAACTATTATCGCGCGAAAGAATAGCGCCACCGTAGAGTGAACTTTGCTCGATGTTTCGGGTCGTACAATGTACGGTCATTTATCATGAGGATCCTCCCGCGTGTAATATTGAATCTGTCGTTTTGTTGGTGCATGTGATCGACACAGGAACCAGATAATGGACGCGTTGGAGGGGACGATACGGCGACGCATCCAGGACGAGCTCGATAAGGTGGACGTGGAGAAATTGATTCACGAGAAAATACCGGATATCGAGGAGCGGGCCAAGATACTCCAGGGTATGAAGCCCGTCGATGACATTCTGCTCGGGAGGGACCATCGCGAGAGAGAAGACGGAGAAGAGGAGGAGGAGGAAGAAGCGGCAGAAGAGGAAGGAGGAGGAGGTGAGGCCGAGGACATGGTATCGCCGACAACGCAAGCGTCCCCGGAGCCCGACAATCTCGAGCCCATTTCCGCGAGCGAAGAGGACCGCGGGTAAACTTGAGTGCGCCACGTATACATACCCATTTGTGTGGGTTATACCTTTACAGCGCAAGGAGAACGAAGGACAGAGCATATAGGACAGAGTGTGCCGTGTCGACGACGAAAAAAGTCGGGGCCAAAGAGACACTTTCTTTCCTCAATTTATTCATTACAGGTATACACACGCAACCGCTTCACGTGATGACCACGGCACGTATACGCACTGTCTTAACAGTCATGTCTTTTAACTATAGAAAAATTGCACTCAAGTACTGTAAAACTTTTTTTTTTTTTTTTCTTGCTCGCACTACACCTTGTCGCTCGACGTGTATATGTGAATGTGTTAACAAACAAGATTAAAATATATATGTATATACACTGCACCTTTATTTGTTAACGAGCGCAATTAAATAAAAGTGTCTCTAATAATACATTTTTTACTTCTGTACACGATGCTGTATGGCTTATTGGCATTGTCGTGCAGGGAAAAGTGGTCGTATAATCATATAATCGGCGTTAACCAAACGAGTCCAATTAATATACGACAAAGACGATACCTGCGGAGAACAATAGGGTAAGTATAATGTGCGGGTCGTAAGGGCTCTCATAAGTATATGTTATTATACACGCATGAGAGAAGGAGTGAGTATCTATTATACCGCCTCCACGGTGCGGAGCTTTTGGTGCGTCACGTCGTTTTCCCCTCCTCCAGCCCAAAGTGCACGTTGTACCATAAACATGTGGTGTATATGCGCGATAGTGCTGTTATTGCGCGGGTGCACTTACGCGCTCCCGTGTAATTGAGTTTACTTTGCCGGGAATAGGTATGATACGCAGACGTTGCGACATTGTCGTTGTCGAGGACTCGCTCGCTGTATCTCCTTGCTCCCTCGACAAATTTGCCAAGACCGTGTGTTTCAAGTTATTGCGGATTACAAGCTGGGAGTGGCAAGTAACGTGTAACGGAAAAAACAAGCGTCCATTTGTTAAATTAATAATTGAACGAGAGAGCGTTTTATTTGAGCGGAAAAGATTTTACCAAAGGCGAGCTGCTGCAACAATGTCGGGGACGTGTTTTTAAAGCAGCTCGACGAGGGGCTCGCGACATAATTGGGATAATATAGTTGCGCGAAATATGTATACATCCCCGAGCGGGACAATGTGCGTGTATATATATTATAACGGCCGGTGGGAGCGCGCATTGTACACGAGCGAGTAAGGATACAAAGGAGAGAGAGACGAGAGAATTGTGAGCGCGATGATCGAACGCCGGGTGGCTTTCAAATTTTTATCGAAATTAAAGCTGCCCTGGAATACTGCCAGGGGCTCGGTGTGCATATTCACTACGGTCATTGTCCACGGAAAAATTCGATTTCTCTTTTCATTTTATTTTGCCTTCGTTACTCTTTTTTTCTTTTTTTTCTCCTCCTCTTTCACATATGCCGTGAAAAGCTGGTCTGTTGTCCGTTAATATTTTATCTGTGAATGGTCTCTGTCGCCGTTTTGTGTGCTACCGTATAGCTGAGTGCGGTGGCAAAATCAGGTATCTGATACTCGAATATAAAATAATAACACACGGATGTCTTTATAATTTTATGGTCCGATGATCGAACAGAATTGTTTTTTTTTTTTTTTTTTGTTGCTGGGCGAATGGATTTTTCATCTCCGGTTTACAACAGATTGCGGATGTGTTTTTTGATAAAAAAATAAAAGGAAAAAGAATTTAAATTTTCAAAAAAGCAATGTCGGTTTAGGTGAGTCATGGATTTTTTTCCAAAACAAAAATTTTTCTTTTTTTTTTTTTTTTTTTTTTTT